ATGCCTAATATTTCAATTCTCTGCCAACAGCCAGTAAATTGAGCAAATTCATCGTCTACTTCCACAATGCCATACACACGTTTTCCCTTCTCCAAAGCAGTAACTCTATTTTTTAAAAAAAGTAATAATAATAAATGATTGAGAAAAAAAAGAATTAAACTACAAATCTTCTGGGATTTCACAACGTTTTAAAATTACATTAAAAACGAACACATTAGATGAATTAATAAGCTTTCTATTTTTGGGATGGCCATAGAATGAGTTTAGCTCCTCAGCAAAATTGGCAAGTTCATCATTTGCCGCAATCATTGCGTCTTCTTCATCATCCGCTGCATTATTATCTTCATATTCTTCTATTCCTGTGTTCCGTTGTGATGCTTCCTCTAACCTTGTCATTTTTAGCGGACGAGCGTAAAACTCGTAGGGCGAAACAGTGTTCCTTGAAAGATCAAATATAATATTACCATATTAATATTGCTGAATAATCACCATAAATTATTTCAGTAGGATGTCCAAGAAAGTTTTCCAAGTAAACTATCTAATGAATTTTATATAAAATTTAATAATAAAATAGTCAAGGACTTGAATGTTGCTGAAAAGATACCTTCCCTCAATGTTGACCAAATATTCTCCCTTGTGACAGTATCCTTCCTCATTTAACCAACTAACGTCTGCTACTGGAATCTAAAATTAGCAATGAGTAATTATCTCCTGAATAAAATGTGGTATGGAAATGAAGTGAAACAAAATAAGATCACCTGTGCACTACCAACTGTCGCTTCATTCAAGATGGGCTGTACCACTATAGCTTCAGTTTCATTTTCACTTGGAAAATTGAGTCGCCACGTTTCCAAAGTCTCGACAGTAAGGACTTCCTTATGCTTTAAATAAACTAATTAAATGTGCAAGCTACAAAAAGGGACATAAATGAAAAATAAAAATCACGAAAATCTTTGAAAAAATTTCTTTCCCGTTTAGGTTCCTTATCCCATTACACTCATGTGACACTATTTGTAAAACAAGTTTAAAAAATTTAGTTTCAAATATGCTTCGTCATGACTGCATGACGATTTTATGAACAATTTTATGACTTTTTTGAAAGTAATGGACTTACAAAATTTTCAAATATTTTTTGTGTGATTCCATCAAACAAATTTCGTTCAAAATCAACTTGATCGAAACGTTCACGAGCAAACAAATGAGTGATTGAAGTACCCATTTCGTCCGACTCCGATTCCATGCCATACATATTAACCTTCAACTCAGAGAAGATAACAAGCAACGAATAAAGTAAGCAAATGGATAAGAAACCATAATCTCCTAGGTGAATTACCAAAAGAGAGGATACGAACTTTTACAAAATCGCGATAGTCATTGCTGGGGACACTGTTAAGGATTGCCTCTACACGAAAAAGTTCAAATTTTTTAAGAATTCCTCGCAAAGCCGCTGTATCCTCCTTCGACCATTTCAATTGTACGTTATCAGTGAGGATGTCTTGATATGGCTTTACCTGCAAAATCGAAAACCAATAAGAAACATGTAATTCTGTAATTACAAACCCAACTGATCACGTTAATCCTAGTACATATCATTATAAACATTTTTCCCATAGCACTACACTGAATTGTATTTTTCTGAGAAATACGAATATTCTGCTTTGGTTCCTAAAAGAGATCAAAAGAACACCTTAAATAGTGCAACAGGAATTGCTTGCCAAGGATGGAAAGATAATATTTCATCCATTTTGGCAAGACAAGTAGAATTCATCCAAGCACTGATCCCTTCGTCAATGAACAATACTTTCACAAATTTTGTCCGCTGAAATTGAAAAAGACCCATAGAAATGCCTTTTACCAACAATAGACCTAAATTTTTAAGGCAGATAACCAGCAACCTGATCAACTTCACAAATTCGAGCTCGAGCGTAAACACCTTCCTCTAACGGTGCCATCACATAACGATTTTCATGTGCCACCGGAGCTGGAGTTAATGTATTTCTAAAAAAAAAAGTTGATGAACTTGATATGGGTATGCTTTCTTTCCACATTTCAGTCAAGTGGCTCCCAGCAATCCCATAATTATGAAACAACAAACTTACAAATCTCGGATTTGTAGTTTTTCCGTAATATGGTTCACGGGCTTTACCCATATACAGCTTGGCGAGGTGACATGGGATACAAAGCAACGAGCTGTACGACACAAAGGAATACGGTGAATCTGCAATCATTCCATTGAAATTATCCGAAAAATATAATTCTTGACCTTCCTTCTAGTCATAGTCATTTGTGAACTCAAACCTTTCTATCCTATACTCACCACTAAACTACATTTGAGCGAATTTATGATGACTTATCAGACTCGTCATCTAGTTGCTACTATTTATTCTGTTCTATGACTATTTCTAAGCAGCAGTTCTCATGCCATATCGAAAATACGGTTAAATCCAAATCCGACTACTTTTGACTTTTTAATAAGCAGCGAAATGGAGTTAAAGCTACCTTGAATCTACCATCACCTCTTACATCGCCATTTTGCATCATCTTCGGAACAGCGTTTCTCTTATCGTTTCTGTTTATCGGCTCCTCTAATCGCGGCGACGTTCGGCCATCCATAATGCCTACTGACTATTGTATTGTCATTAAATTTTGCATATGAAATAACTATTCGCAGTCTATTACGATATACGACTTTCCTTCCTGACTCCATTGAAGCGGTTTCCCATCAACAGTCACATTTTATAATGGGCTAGAGTCCTAACACGAATTTCCAAAAGCACATAAAAATGTTGAACACATAACTGCTTTACGATACATGCCAGGAGAACGAAAATATTTTTATTCAATAAATTAGAAACAGCATGAACAAACATCACTGGTAAATCACATCGACAAAAGTACAAGGATAAACCACATTAAGAATACCTCTCCTTCAGAATATCATCAGGAAATAGTAGTGGTCTTGAAAACGGGTACTATTTTGCAGTTGAGAACAGAGCAACCAAACCGGCTGCACCAACCATAGAAAACAGACAATTGAAAGTGGACGATATAGAAGCGAATAAAAAGAATGATAAAATAAGGAGAAGTGAAAGAAAAAGAATATTATTCCAAAAGATAGAAAAAGTAGTCGCTTCGTAATCTCCGACCTGAAAGTTTTCAACAATTAGTATGGTTTGGCAAACTTTAATATTAATGCAGCACTTCATTTAATCAGATTTTGGATGGCAACAAATAAAATTTTAGCCTTACAATGCTTACCTCATTTTTCTTCCATAAAATTCTTTCATCTTTCTCTTTTTTCGACATTTTTTTATCATCTGCTAATTTTCGATTCATTTCACGAGTTATTGCCTCACTCCTTTTTACAACAATCCTGCAAACACAGAGTGAAAAACCTGAGAACGAAGTGAAACAAAAGAGAGTTACAATATAAAACAATTTCCTTGTTAATGTCAAATTTGTGACAAAAATATCACGGAGATTACTTATGCTTCAGAATGTGCTTGATATTCTTGTAGGCAAAACTGATAAGATAGGATGCAGTTAGCGATGAAATTAACCAAATGATCCACGAATCAGTCACTTCCATCTGATGTATTCCATGGAAAAGGTATAGAGGTGCAATAGCAATCACTGTCGAATTTCCATAGAACAATGCACTGCCCTTTGCTGACACTGCTGCCGAGAAATCCTTTAGAAAAAAATAATCACAGTTTAAAAGGAACTATTTAGTACAACCAGAAATAATGAAGCATGAAATACTGAAATAATGAAATATAAATAATGAAGTATCAAGTCTAGATATTCTTTCTAACTCGACATGTTTAACTATTCAGCAAAATAGTTATCATTATTCTGGTATAGATTAGGTCAACAAATGCAAATATTTAAATTTAATTTAGATGTTCGTATATAGAGGTCCAGGTTCGTGGAGGTTCTCATTTTTTGATTAAAGGGAGAAATGAATTATGCAACGGTGAAAATCTCCAATCTACAAGGACTTAAAGCATACCTTTAGCAGTAATTCATCTTCCTTTGACAACTTCTGCCCCGCTGCTTTTGACATGTTTGAGCAATTAATAAGATAATCTACCTATAACAATCACACTTGAATGTAAAGCTCCTGCATTACTTGCAACATAGTACCCTCATACATAGTGATGTCATAGAAGTAGTTAATCACCGCGCCATAAGTAAAGACACGCGAAGACACGCAAAATGCCCCATTCCCGACGGAATGCACAAGTCGAACTTTAAATCGACACAAAGGCCAACAAACCAAAATAATTCAAACTGCAAATGAAAACGTTGGGCACTTTGCAAATTTTGTGTGTCGAAGAATTATTCCTCACTCGATAGATCAGTGTATCATTATCACTTCACTGTTGTTTTTGTGATTTGATCACAACATTTTGGTGTTGAGTTTCTAATTTCCATTTGGAGATTGATAGATTAAAATAAATATGAGCGAACCTGGCTTATCTTCCTCGATGAAATCATTCACGGAAAACTGGAGGATCCATAGATACAGCAGTTAATTTGATTCGATGTATGTCATTTGTAGTAGTACACAATTGAGAAAGAAGCAACCGAATGTTTCATTATATCGTTGTTAGAATATACAAGAAAAATTTCATCCTAACAATTCTTTTTTCTTCTTTATTGAGTATTATTAAAGTCCAAACAAGGAGCAGTTTTGAAGAACCTTTTGCAATAATTCTTAGTCTAGCAGCTACACTTAAAAGTGCATCGCACATAAGAATTAACGAGAAACTAGATGCTCTTCGAGCTTCCAGTAAAAGGATATTAAATATCCACAATAAGTGTAAAACATGGGAATCAAGTCAGTCACGAGAAATATAATCTATAGAAATTGAGGAAGTCAGTCAGCTAGAAAGATTGGTAAGTTTTAATTGGGACAATCAGTAGTAGATACAGCCTAGAAAAATGGAATCAAAGAACAATTAGTGGAAGGACTGCATATTTATATTTCTATCACTTTATGGAGTTGAAGATATTGCGTCATCCAACGCACGTTTCCTGCGATCGATTCTGCGAAGACGCTCGGCCCGTTCTTCGGATTCGGTTTGAAAGGTCTGGAAACAGTCACATTTGGCCCAGTGGTCGTAATCCTGTAGTAGAGCTTCCAGATGACGTATGTATCGTATCGCCAAACGTAATGTATCCACTTTACTAATACGACGATCGCTGAAAGCGCCTCTAATTTCTCATTTTCAGAATGATATAAGAAATTTCTAAATAACAAACAAATTCTAATATTTTGCCACAAATAGTGGATAAACATAATTTTCATAAGAATTGATTAAACGATGTAATTTTTCAAAAGATAAGTTAGAACTGGAAGTAATTAAACCTTTCGGTAAGCGGTAGATGGTCACGCAGTCTTTCATATCCGTCGTTCACACAACGAACACGTAATCGCTCCCTTTCATTTCTCTTCCATACAGTAGTTCCATAACTGCTGAATTTTTCCGAAATGAATTAATGAAACCGATCAAAGGAAAACAATATTATGAGATTATTTATTTTGACTTGTTTCTTTCTTTAATAATAACATAATTCGCGTTCATTTTCCAAATAGCTTACTTTTCGTCGATTTCACTTGGTAGTGGAACACGAGCCTCTGGTGAAAATGGACTTATTCGGTTTGGCTTTCTCTCGTCTTTTCCTTCTACCATATAATCACATAATGAAGATAATTTATATCTGACATACAATTTGAGAATATGTTAAGTCTCAGACGTTTTAGAGCACAGTTCGTCCAAAACAATCTGCTCAGAACTGATATACTAACCTTAATTTAAAAAAAAAAAAAAAAAAAATGGGAATGGAATTTGAACCATAAATCTTTCGTTTTCGAGGAAAAGTAGGCTAAAGCGATTCATTGAAATGTTAAAATGATTTAGTGGATTACTGGATAACTTCAAGAAACTCTAGTCTGAAGCAAATGTACCTTCATCAAATGATCCCGAACGGAGTCTGAGTAATCGAGCGGCACTGATAATTGATGGTAGCTTGCGTCCGTACTGGAATGCTGACTGATGTGATTCTTCCGTAATACTCATTTCTTGGTTTACGAATCCTTTTGATTTATCTGCAATTAAATATCATATTCCCTCTACAGCACAATAACTGTGGCACATCTTTCAGAATACAAATCCGTTGACGTGCTATGAGTAAGTTCGGCTTCCCCGTACGTGATCACCTGTCATCTCCACCATTACAGTTCGGTTAGCTTTTCTAGGATTCATCGTCATTCGTTCATGACATCTAAAAGAAAGCATGGCGAATGAGAATGGTTTTTTAAATAGGATGATTTTGAGACAACAGAGGAAATGTGCTATCTGTTTGATAAAGATTCAGAATCTTTCTTCCGGATATCACTTAAAAGGATTATATTGAATGTAGATATCAATAAGCAATAACTGTCTACCGTACATGTAATATGCACATAAACAGTTACAAGCATGCGCTTCATCCTCATAACATCCATACCGCTGTGCAAACAACAACGATGATCGCATGCTACTATCTGTCAACCGAGGGTTCATCTTTCTGATAGTCATCCTTTTACTGACAAAGCTTTCTGCTGTATCATCCCGTTGTAAATAGATCACTTTAACTATTGATTCGATATTAATGGAAAGATCGATTAGAAAAATCACTTTAAAATTACTCGATAAGTTTCAAAGCTACTTCTTTTCAGTTGTTTATTTCAATCATTTTGCTATTGTAAAGCAAAACAAGAAAGGAATTTATAAAGGTCTTTATGTATATTTTTGTGAACTAATCGATAATTAGAAAAGGGTTAAGATAAAGTTGTTCTGACGTTATATTGACAGTCATGTAAACTGTTTATTGATTTATTCAGTCGGAAGAAAAAGAATGAGGAAACAACCGTGGTGTGAAAAACTGAAGGTTTGCAGTGGATATTGTAGATTAGAATTAAAAGGTTCAGGAATTTGATCATAAAACAGGATAATATCATTCCATCGAATTACAGATATAAACTTGGTCCTGGAAAACAATCAAGAATTTTGTTCTTGTGTAAAATAACTCTAATCCATAATAAAATTGAGAAGTGTAAATCACCAATACAAATAAAAAATTGTTAATGCTATCAATTTATCACTTATTTAATTCAGTTCGTTAATTATATTCATTTCGTTATTTCGATTAATAGATTAATCTTTCAAATAATAAAGAATGATTGAAAAAACTAAGTTCATCCTAGCATCATTGTTCTCAGGTCTAATTCTCTACAGCAAACACACTCATTTCTTTTCTTTAAATGATCCGAAATTTCAGAAGTATCAGTAATTTGGTAATAATTTTCCCTTATCTCAGATTACCTAATTATTTTCCGTCATTTACAGAAGCATTCATGTGATAAAACAGTCATAGCTGAACGAAGTTATTTTTAATAATTGCGTGAATGTTTGGTTTTTTATGCCCTTTTGAAATTTTATTCCAAGTATTTCTCAAATTAAGTAGCAAATAATTCCTTCATCAAAAAACGGATAATCATTTAGTAAAAACGACAAAAAGCTAAATAAACTAAATTAGAGTTAAGAAAATTTGGAAGTTAAGTCTTCATTCCTCCTCACACGATCATTATAAAAAAAATTCACATAGAGCATTTCTTGTTCCTTGCTCCGATGGAATTCATACCGAAGCCCTAGCAAGCAACTATATGATTATTCTCTCTATTTCCAGTTTATCTATCCAGCTATCTTGGTCTAATTCTGACAACTTTCAGGAATTCGACAGATTCAGGAAGAACATTGCAGAAAGTTAGAGATTCCAGTTACTTCAGTATCACTTACTTCAAAGATATAATCTTTTTTTATTATTCAATTTTAATCTAAAAATACCTTACACAAGCTGTGGATCCAATGCTTGGAACGTTTTACAGACTTTTATTTCCAGCCGTACTCATTTAATTTACCTTATTGACGCCTTTTAAAGTCAGTGAATTACTTACTGTTATGTACAATTCATTTTTTAGATTTCATTATAACTTAGTGCAACTTTCTTCGTATTTCTATTAATATAATATGAAGTGTTTGCATTTGCTGCTCGTTAATGAGATGTTTATTGTAGTGTTTTCTGCAGAAATATCTATAGTGTGCATTTCATTAAACTGAAATGTGAAATTTACCGTACTTCCCTGAAGTGATATTATGACGACTTAATTAGACTACAAATAATTAAACTTAATGAACAGTGCGAAATCAATTATTAATTTAGATAATCAATTTAACTGCATATAACAAGTAGAAATGAGCAGTGCTTATGTCGAATGCAAAATAATTTGCTTTAATAGAATAATCCTGATTTTTAAAAAGTAATTTTTTTCCTAGCAAGTTCTCCAATATCAAATATAATACCAAATTCTTATCTTTGCATCAATATTTGCATTTTAATATAATAATGATTAGTTTAATAAGTCATTTAAATTGCATTCATTTAGGTTTGTATTTTGTCCCTCAAATAGAGGAATTTATTATCTCCTGAAGTTGCAAATTTGTTGCAAATTTATTCAGTTCTTGTCACTGTAAGTGCAGAGAAACTATATTCAAAATTAATGAAAAATATTTTTACAAATAGAGAATAAGAGATATTAAACATTTTATTTCATTTTTGCATATTTTGTGGCTTTATAAGCATTAGGAGATTTATTAATTTTTTGACTGATTGGAAGAATTTCACTCAGTACTGGTATCTATTTGAAGTCTATATGACATTTTCTTTTCTTCTTTAACAAAACGATTTACATATTTTTTCTTTTTGTTTTTAGTGAAGAATGTTGAAATTAAAACTTAAATTTTTGAAAAGAAATAACTTTACCAAAAAAAGAAGAAGCATGGATTTTGAATTACTACTGTTAACAGACGAGCAGTAAACATTTGACATTTGACGTCATTATTTTCACTCCGTTCAAACATTTTGTTTCAGTTATATTTTTTACTGTTCAGATGAATAGAAAGAGAATGAGGTAGCGTCAAAACTTTACTTACGATGAATACATCCCAAATTAAAAATTTTAAAGTCACTCTGGCGCTTGTAAACTACAAATTTACAAATATGGTCGATTTTTGTCGATGCGTAAATCCCGTAAACCTGATCGATCTACAGAACTTGATATTTATGTTTATGATGTGCTCCAAATTCCAAATCACGGTTTTCCTAATTTTAAATGTTCATTTGATTACTCCATTATGTCGATGCTTTTAATAGAATAGCAGTACTGACTACTCAGTCCTCTCCTAATTAATGTCTTTCAATGCTTTCCCTAAACATCAGCCTTCTCTAGCTAATGAGATCAGCGCTGGCTGCTTTGATAATGTCTTCCCGAGTAGATATAATCTCAAAATACTCAAATCCAGAAGGTCCAAAGTCAATTTTGATAGTTTTATCGAGTGTATCAATAATAGTCGAACTAGATTCGAAGAAAAAGACTGATCTTCGATAAAAATCCGGAAGCAATAATTACCGCGGTGTTTTTTTTAAGATAATGACCGCTTAATTCATTTCGTGAGTATATGTAATAAAGCGTAAACACACTTGAAAATATTTCTAAAATTACTTTTAATCACACTTCAAATTATCTTTGGCGTAGCAATGACATTATAGAGAGTGGTAATCTACCTCAAGAATATAGAAAACATAACATACCTTTTATTCTTACCTGTGGTACAGATAGATAGAGAGCAGATTCTCGAGCTGAATCACTGTTATCTTCAAATGAGTGTCATTTCTCCACGAAAACTATTGAAACTAGAATATTCAGCTCACTAACAATAACTTTAAAACAACAGTACCGAAATCAGATGTAGAACACTCCAAGATCTACACAAAGATAATCCGTGTGTACGTACTTTGTAACAAAGGTTGAAGATGATTAAAATACTCGAGATATTGATATTTCAAATCTTAAATCTTTGTTGTCAAATAAATGTAGACTTGTTTGAGTTAGGATCCATAATTGTTTAGAACTCTGTCCATTCCTGCTTGATTATGAACTTTCGAAAAATGATAACTTCAAAAATTTTAAGCACTTTTTCTGACAAATAATCCAAACAACTACTGCATGATTAGAAAACAGCAATGCAAATGCTCACGTACTAAACATGTTCATCTTAACTTCAGTAAAACACCTGGACCTATTTGTACCTTTTTAAGAAAAAGAATCTGTTTTACCGAAGTAAGATGTAATAGTTAGCGTCAATGTGAACATGACAAGATACAACATTAAATCAGGTACAGCAAAAGAATGCATTAATCAACTTAACAATAAATAAACTTAGGGAACAGTAAAACGAATACGAATAAGATTGTATGGCCAAAGAATGGAAAAATTCCATGTGAATTCCTTTCTATTCTAAATGCATGGTAAAACAAAATAAATATTCTAAACATGCAAAATTCCCCTGAAGAATTAATCCAAATACATGCTAATGGAAGCCCATCTCAAACAGATTAATTTAAAATATCTTTCTTATTCCAGTACAAAATTTCTAGTAAAGTAAATCCAGAACTGAAGTAAAAAAGAGCCATTTTTTCTTTTTTTAAATCAAAAGCTTTTCCACTTCTTCCTTGATTTTCTGTATCTGACTTCTCAGCTGAGAGCCCTCATTCTGGATTATTGAAGCAGCGATTACAGGACGCGATACACCACATGCTCTGCCAAGAGCTGCCTGAAAATATTCCACATATTTCTCTGGAATAAAATATCAAGACAGCGACAAAAGGTGAGAAATTATGTGGACCACTTCCAGAAAACTTCATAACAAAAATTTTAACATACACAAAATTTTCCCTTCCATGACATATAGATGCATATATAATCTTTAGATTACCTTGCTGCGCACAAACACGTAAGGCACGTTTTTGTCTTCACAGAGCAATGGCAAATGTAAGATAATTTCTAACGGCTCAGCGTCAGCAGCCATTATAATGACCTGCAAATTCACCGAGAAAAACTCTGCATGTATAGTGAATGGATTAAAAACACAGAAACAGAAGTCATACGAATCTATTCCAAAAAAAATTACTGCATCTATTGGTTTCGTTCATAAATATATATTTTTTCTCAATGAAATGTGTATCATTCGAGTCTTGTACACGAAAAAAGACAAGGCTGTTAACATAAGCTAAACTAAAAGTAACCTCTGCAAGTCCTCGATTTAGCGTTTTCGTGGCCTCATTCGCACCTTTCTTCAACTGCTTATAGCTTTGCGCCTGCTGAACAAGATCAAGTAACTTCTGAGACAAGCTAGTATCAGCGATAGGATAAGCTTTTGACCCAAAACCAGTATCTGCAGTCATCTTGCCTCACTTTTCCGATCACTGGCAATACCTGGATAAAATTAATGAGAGTACATGAATATCTTTACTTAACATTTCCAAAAAAATCACTGACACTCATCCAACACCAACACTTATGAAAGATGAGTGCTGTGGAATGAACAGCATACCAACAAGTAACTCCAACTTTTTAATAACATTCTGTCCAAAATACCGACTGGAAAAGACCACTCTCGACCTGCCCATCACAGTTACACAGAAGCAACTATCTCCTAGCCTAATCAACAGCAACTGATCAGTCAGACACACACCACAACTCTTTCAATTTTAGGAGCCTCGTCCAAACCGCGAAATGACAGATCGCTATCAGCGGTATAGTGCGACTGGAGTGTGCAGAGCAAGTTCACTACTCGGTGACAAAAGGCAGGGTAGTTGCCCGAGTAAACCATATGTGAATTGCATTTGAATGAAATGTTGTGTGCATAAATTTTCCACTTTCATACAACATGTGTTTATAAATGGAATGAACAGTGCTCTGAGTCTGAACTACTGTTTTCTTTCTTCACTTCATTTCTTGGATACTTCTTAACTCTTTTTGTATTTCGATATAAGAACTCATTAATTTTCACAGTTTTTACAGAAATGACTTCGATTGCTGTGGAAGTTTTTGATGCCAAAAACATTAATAAGTCGATCGCCTACCTAGAAAATGTTTGTTTTATTTGATTTAATATATTTCAAGGTATTAAGTTTAAATTCAAGTGCTTGATTATTTCTTAATTTAGATCACTTCCGATGAATCAATAGTGGGTATCAAAAGTCGTCTGTCCCAAAGTAAGTTTATAATGATTCCGTCGAGTTTCCACTTATCTTTCTGTTGGTTTGTTGTATGATGCAGTTTCTTACTGTATGTGATGATTTGTTGTATATTTAGAGCTTTCACTTCCTATCAACCAAATAGCTTTGCGGTTAGATGCGAAAGGGAAGAATTTGAAAGATGAACTTGTTGTGCTGGATCTCAATTTGCCTTCTAAGGGTGCTCACTTATATATTCGAGTTCTTGGGCCACAAATCGGATGGAAAACGGTGTGTAGGATTTATTATTAAGTTTTCCTAAATATTTACTTCATCCGTTTTAACACACTGTTCTACTCCAGGTTTTCCTCCTAGAGTATATTGGCCCTCTTGTGATTTATCCAATTTTCTACCTGAGACCAACCGAGATCTATGGACCAGGTGATTTTTCTTGATACATGAGGCTGTTTTTTATCGAAAATACTGGATGAAGCATGGAATAACTGAGTAAAGTGAACCACATGCAAAAAACTGACATGAAATCTTGAAGACGCGTCTCGATATCCTATGTCTTATGGAGTAAAACTTGCACTGGTTTGTTGGTCATTTCATTATGCAAAACGTTTGCTGGAAACCCTCTTTGTTCATCGATTCAGCAATGCAACAATGCCTTTACGGAATATATTCAAAGTAATCAGTTTTCAGTATAGTTGTTCGTACTTTCTTGTCGGATTTATAGTCTAACTTTGGGATTTCTATATATCGTTAGGATGCTCAAAAATGGTCAAAAGAGATCATCAAACCCAAGTTACATAAATAAAGCATACAAATATTTTAAATTTGTTTTAGAATTGTGGTTACTACTGGGCCTTTACAGCATTTGTCAGTTATTTTATCAACCATCCGCTGTACACCCTACCGTATTTCGGTTTCGTACAAGTTGCCACAGGTCTTATTGGTTTCATTATTTGTGAATTCGGTATGTTTATCTCATGACTTTTGCTTATTGTTCTAATACATTAGTGTCATTGTTGTTATGATTGTCTTTTTTCTATATCTGTTTTTCAGGCAATTTGTCAGTTCATCTGCTTTTGAGAAACTTACGCCCCTCGGGTACTAAAGTTCGCAAAATCCCAATTCCAGATATCAATCCGATGACATTGATGTTCCACTTCGTAAGTTGCCCCAATTACACTTACGAAGTGGGCTCATGGTTATGGTTTTCATATATGACCCAATCATTACCAGGTTTTTTTTTTTTCGGTTTGTGTTATTGTAGAAATAAAACAGCCAAATACCCGCGCAACATCAATTTCATCAGTTTGCTTATGAGTATTTGTGGTTTATCTTGAACAAGTTTATGTGTTTGATTTATATTTAGTCGAAGTTTGTTTTTGTATTAACTCATACTTGCAGCACTGATTTTTACCTTTGCGGGATTTCTCCAAATGGCTATATGGGCAAAAGATAAGCACCGTAATTATAGACGCGAATTTCCAAATTATCCAAAACATCGACGAGCAATGATTCCTTTCGTTTTTTAATTACTTTTTAATTGTTGTTTATACGAATAAATTAACGATAATGTTTTTTGTATTGTGTGAAGTGAATTAGTTGTTTGGCCGTTGCAAACGAAATAGGTGTACCTCTTCTGTTCCAACTCATACAAAACATTACCAGATTTTTACTGTTGAGAATCAAAAATATATTTTCATTGATGTTTATTAAATCTAGCATTACTTTCACATTCAATAAAATTCCACGCTTTGAATCATTTATACAAAAATGGTGTTTAGATCATTTCCAAAAACCGTTATCAAAAAACATTAGCAGTTACGTATTGTGGATGAAATTCATTTTGTATTTGCATTTCATGTTTTAACCAATTTGTAAACACACCGGTTTATGTTAGTTATTGCTGATGAATAAATTTTGAAAAAAAATCCGCCTTATGAAAGCGTGATTACAACTGTTAATTCTCTGTAATCAGTATAATGTGTTATACAGTGTTAGACATAGCAAAGGATTTTTGGTTTTATTGAGTCGTTGCCGTACGTCATTTAAAAAGTTTTATTTTGCGAAAATATTCTCCACTTCTTCAGACTATGGCATCTCAGGCTTTACAAGCAGTTGTATTATGTGGTGGGTTGGGTAATCGAATGACTAGTTTGACGGATCATATTCCAAAATGTATGCTTCCAATTGCCGGTGTTCCCATGTTTTGGTATCCACTCAATTTTTTGCAAAAAAATTCTATAAAAGGTTGGTTTTTTCCTATTGCACATTTAGGATTTTCATGAGTCTTCTGTTGGAGCTGACATTATTAATTAAATTAATGTTTCGGATTGTTTGAAAATTTGTGAACATAATTAGTACCTGTGGTATTTTACAATAGTCTAAATTTACTTTCCTTCCTTGATATATTGCAATCATGTCTGACAAAAGGAAATTTCGAATCGATTATAATCTGTAAATAATAGACCGTATTGATCTAAGGCTTCGTTAAGTTCTAGAATTATTTCATAATTACAAAATGATTTTCGTAGAGACCTTATGCGTTTATCTAAGATCTATTTTAGTAATTGAAGTGGGGTCATTATGAAAATGACAGTATGTCTTTTCAGAAGTTGTTATGGTTGTAGCCGAAAGATTGATGGACGAAATTAGACATCTTTTATTTAGCTCCGCTTTGCCATCGTTAGATAATTTACAGATTGAATTTATAAAATTAAGCAGTGCTGCTGAACATTGGGGTACTGCAGATGTGCTGAGATTTATAAATGCTCAAATCAAGGTAATAATAGTTGCCTTTCTAGTATTGGATATTCAGATCCTTTATAACTTTGTCTGGCCTTCATTCTTTTCTCTTCATCACTGCTTGAGTTGCAGCCTTTATTATTTTCAGAGTTCAGTTAGCTAGTCAAAAAAATATGATAGAAATAGATCTTGTTTGATTATACCCACCTTGTAAATTTCTGTAAATAAAATACAATGATTTGTTGACAAAATGGATCCTGACAAAGAGAGGACATGGAGTAGATATTGTTCCAGTTCACCTAAATTTGTAATATTTTCACTTGGTTCTGTTTATCCTTGCTAGAACTTGATTGTCAGCTCAGAGTTAGTTTGTATAATTTTTGTTTTGTTTTGCTGACTATAAATTTTAATGCCATATCAAATAATGTCTAAAATTTACATTCATTACAGAAGGATTTCATTGTTGTTAGTGGTGACTTTGTTTCTGATGTGAACCTAGCTCCTATGTTGTCGCTTCACGCTGCTGAAAATGCCATTTTAACGTGTTTATTATGCGATCGGGTTATCACAGGACCAGCTCCCGGACCTAAAATGAAGCTCTTAAAAGGTATTGGTTTTCGCTTCAAAATTTTTTTAAAAAATCGGTGGAAAAAAGGCGTTCTTAAAATTTTATGTTTTTGTCATTGATCTGACCCACATTGATCTGCAAATATATCCGAGAAACCTTGCTGTGATTTGAAATGGCTAGGATGAAATTATTATTATCTATTTAAGAATGATAATGGGTATCAAAACTAACGACAGGTTAGTAGACTAGATGAAATGCTTTGAAGGCTACAGTGCTGGTTTCTTCGATGATGTAGTACGCTGATTTGTCCGGATAGCCCTAATCTCGATGAATTTGATCTAAGAAAGTGTCTCTTGGTTACTAATTAAAACAAAACGTTATGTCTTTATTACAGTTTTTTCTTAGTCTTTCTATTTTCATGGTTTCAGAGCGCGATTTTATTGTTCTTTCTAAGAATAATCAGTTACTATTCAGTGGTTCAGAAGAGGATTATGACGATACGGTTACTATGAATGTTGATTTACTCGACAAGTAATTTTTATTTACAGTTAACCATTTTCGCAAAACTTTCGTGAATGGTTTAATTATTGAGATTTCAGATGTCGAACTGCTTACTTCACTGCAAAGTACAGTGACTGCCACTTATATATCATGAAGAAATATATTTTAAACATTATCGACAAGCACAGGCAAGTTTTAGTTGCTTTAGTCTTATTTATTTTAATCTATCTAAACCACCATTTCATTTTATTGAATTTATTCGTTATCAAGGCCAAGTTATAGTAAGATCTGAAACATCATATAAAATATCGGAAATTTTGATTACAAATGGAGAGTTTAATAGAGGATTATAATTTGCAGGGAGTTTACATCACTGAAAGCTGATCTTATTCCATATATTTTGGAAAAACAGAATACTAAAGATAGCCATGGCATGCATTTTTCTGATATTAATAAATTTTTTTGATCATTTTGAAAACATATTAAATGTCCAAATTCTTTTCTCCTTAAATAGATGAGTCAAACAATTTTTAAATGTTAATATATGTTTCATTCAGAATTGACTGAATATGTCAGAATCGACCCTCTAGATGAAAAAATACAGAAATTCAGTTTTGGTGCGAATGCTGTAAAAAACCTTCAATACCGTTTGAAATGTTTTGCCTATTTGCTGCCACCCGAGAACGGTTTCATTGTTGGACATGTGAACACCATCGGATCTTACTTTGAGATTAATAAAGCAGTAAGTTTTCGAATTAAAAATCCATAACATTTCCGGTTGTACGAGTTGGGTATATCACCGCAGTGTAAAAAATTTTCGTTTAAAAATGATTTGATGCAGCTGAAACTTAAAAAAACTTTTTTTTAAAAAAAAAATTAAAAACAAATTTGAAAACTCTTAATATTATGATATGTCTGTCTCAGTTGACTGCTCTTTCAGGCCATAAATTATCAGTAAACTGATCAGAGGGGAATTGAAAAAGGAATGATTTGATGGATCTTTCGTTAGCCTTTTTCAGGAGTTCCATATTTTACTTTCAGTCATTCTTTCAGAAGGCATTATACAGAATGGTCCATCAATCGTGTTGATCTCAGTTTTATTTATATTATTTTACTTATTTTTCATTTTCAGATCATCCGTTTTTTATCATCAAGTTTTTCTGAAAAATTTTCTGTTGGACAACTAATGGATGATATTGGTACCACATCTAACTCTGAGTGTTACATCGGTCCTACCACTCGCCTTTTTCTACAGAGCGCCACTGAAGCGCACATTGCTGGTTCAGAAAGGCCAATTATTAAGCGATCTGTGATCGGTGATAAATGTGTCGTTGGACCAAGAAGCAAAATTATCAGTTCTGTACTGATGGACGAATGTCAAATTGGTGCGGGGTATGAAATATTACTCGTTACTGACATACTTATTCCTCTAATAGATTCCTTATCGGAGTTTATTTATGTAGTTGAAACCTTATTCTGTTTTTAATTAGCTTCACTCGCTTAGTCCTAACTTTTTATAACGTTGCATTCTGTACTGGATTTTTACTATGTATACTAAAAGAAAAAAATTTTTGCTAAATGCTGATTGCACTTTTAGTATCCATAATCTATAAAAATTAATTCAGGGCACAAATAACCAATTCAATCATTTGTGCGGGTGCTGAGATCGGTGAAAATGCTAATATTTCTTCATCAATTGTAGTCTGCCAACAAGTAGTTTCTGCAAGTGGTATGTCCTTTAAGAGGTTCAGTAAATCTGCATGGATGGCATCAGGCTCCATATTTATAAGAAAGCATTGGCGAGGAAGTATTTCTGTTTTTAATTTTGATTTTTACTCTACTATTTTTTTATTTTTACTGTTTGTAGAATAAGTTGTAGAGTTTTTCATTCTCTGTAGAAATTTCTAGTTATTTTCTTGTAGCCAAAGTGCACAATGAACTTGTTGTTCCGAATAGTGAAGTGGAACTTGAAAAGTGGACTGAAGAAATATGGTAGAAAAAAATATCTGACTTCTGGTGCTGGTACTGTGTTATCTCACATATTACGGTATTGTAGTTCATCGAATTTGTTAATAAATTATTTCCGTGATTAATGTGCAGAATGCTTCATCACAGATCGTAATTGTGACTAATAAGTAGACAGTTATAAATCATATCGATAGAGCTGCGTTATCCGGATCTACTGGAGGTAGCTGTCAAATGCATGTGGTACTTAATAGAATCACATTCCTCTGTAATGTGATAAGTAGTACAAGTTGGTCCTTAGAAGAGACATATATAATACAGTTATTTTGACGATCATTGCTGAGAAATCTCATTTTACTAGCAACCATTTCATCGATTATATTCCAAGAAATCGTTCCGTCTGCAACTCTGTTGACAGTGCTTTATTATCATTGCTATAATAGGGCGTGGCTGCGACGATAATGGCGACCAATAGTTTCTGTAAGATAAGACGGCTTTCCCACGCTAGTAGGTAGCTTGTAATTTGGAATAAGAAGACGATGCTTTCAACGTGGAGTGAAGCTGTCCTGCAATGTTCAGGTATGTGGGAGTTGTATTTCGCTCTTTTGGTAGTATCGTTCTGCACTGTGGCTTGTCAAGCTCAAGCTACGTTTTTTCGTTATCTCATGACATCAGTCGTGCAGTCGTCCTGATCACTGCTTTCAGTGAAAGAATTCTTTCAAAAATGGTAACAAAAAGCTGACAAAAGTTTTTTTCATAACAAGAATTTAAATAGAAGTAAATGTCAATTTGAAATGAATTTTATTTCTTCTTTAATAGATTTTAGTTTACCGAGCGATCACAGCAAATTGAGCGATATTGACTTAACAAGACATTTATCAGAAGTAAGACAAGCTGAAGTTACTCATCAGGATCATGATGTAATGTACGTTTGTTTTTCTTATCTCTTTTGTTTCTTGATATATTTCTTTGATAACTTTCTACACTGTTGCAGTAACAGTTGGCCAGCTGGTTGGATGGATCGACATTTCAAGGATGAGACTCGTTGCAATGTACCTAATGTAGGATTTTAAATAGCTGGATTGGAATAAATATATAAATTCATTCTTGAAACTACTAATGATAAGCTGAGTTACCTAATTATTGGCTCTTTCGAATAAAAGCGATGCTGAATCGTGAGAATCTATTCTATTCATTGTATCAAAGTCACCAGGACTTTTTGTTGATGTGATTTTACGACTTTTTTTTGAAACTTTAATTTCAGTTCACCGGTACGAGCTATGATAAGGGAGCAACCAATGATGAGCAAAAAAATGAGTAAGTTGTTTTCTTAGTTCCGTTTCAGTAATCCAAACAAAGAACTTTTTTTGCTAATGGGCTTGATTCTAGGTTTTATTAATGAAACCGATTTGCTCATTTTCAGGTTGACTATTCTGAATAGCACTGATGATTATTTAGCTAATCTGATTACTAATCCGTCTTCAGTCGTTCCTCTAACTACTTATGCATCCACTCTTGGTGTACCGCCAAGCAAAAAAAGTTACATTGACATTGAGGAGTCTATCGACAATTCTTGGCTTGTTAACGAAGCAACGAGTACTTTCTTTAATGTTAGTACTTCATGTTTATATCAGAATATTATCAAGTGTCGTTCAGTAAAGAATGAAATAATATTTTTTTTTTTACTTTATTAAGGTTAGTGAATCCAATACTACAGTTTGTAGGAGCTCCCGCAAATTAGGTCTTTTCTCTGTGACTGTTGTCATCGTATTCGAAACTGTCATAATGACTTTCACTTTTCAGCTTCACGCTGACTTCAGTACTTTTCTGGAAATATGGAAACCAAACGTTGAATTGGTTAATAAGAGCGAAGTCCCCCAATGTACTACTGCTGCAGTACGGAAACTGAAAGATGTATTGCCGAATCAGATGACTCTTTCGGTGGCTCCGTCTCTATTTCGATTGAACTCTCTGCAGAATAAAATTGTCTCTTGTGAGTTTTATTATTATTTTTACCTATTTTTAGCTAATAGATGTTACCCCTATGAAGGATGAAAAGTGCTCTACTGGACTGAAAAATGGATGTGATGCAAGAGTGCTTGTAAAGAAATTGTCAAGCATCGAAAATGTTTGCTTGTTCCAAATTATCTAACATTGTTTGAATTTGATAGTTTTTCAGCAAATAATAAAAAAGAAATAGCTATCAAATGGTACTGTGTTTTCTGCTTCAATAACGCTCGCTTTGCTGTAAGTTTAATTTCATTAAATGCCACTTCTTTGAGGTTCATTCAGGAATCTCAGGAGGTTCTGCTTTTATATTTCCATGGTTTTGTTCCAGTACGAGAAATGCGGTATTATCCTTTATCCCAAGCTGAACGGACCATGGCGAACTCATGTTTGCAAGGACTCTAAGGGTGTAGTGATTTGTCCTATTTTGGCTGCGTTAGTTTCATTTCTTAACTCTTTTAAAGTTCTTCATTCTTAGAAACTTGAAATTTATTCTGCTTATCTTCCTTGCTTGATAATCTCATATTATTATCCTCACTCAATGATATTGAGGTAATTCAGTACATAAGGAACTGAGAACTGAGAATTACGCTGTTGTATCATTTGAGATAATAGGAAAATCTAGTGAAAAGGCTCTGTCGTGATCAGGGAATGGAAAAAGTAATTCCAAAATTTAAACAAATTATTTTACAGACATGTATGCCGTCATTGTGGTGCCACGGGTAAATTCGCACATACTGAAAAATATTGCGATTTAGAGCAAAAGCGGCGAAATGAACGAACAAAGAATTTGAGTCGAGTTAGTCGTGTATGAGAATGTGCTATCACCGTTGTCTTGCCTTGTTAATTGTTTATGATGCTTTATGCTAGAGAAGTAAAAATTGGGGTTTCCAGCTTCTTGCAAATTTTAGATTACATCTCATTTAAAGTAACGGTATTCCTGAATTCCTTTCATATTCCAACAGTGAATCTCCTCATTTCGTAACTTCCATGAATTTGTTAGGTATTCCCAGTTTACAGTTGATAAAGCACATTTCCTATTATGATGCCTCACGGTATATCTTATGAAATCATTTATTTTATCAGTTTCTTAATCATGAACTGCTGTTATTACCATTTCCTGCCATTTTATTCCTTATCTCATAATGCATAATTTCATATCTCATGTAATCGTTTATATTTTAAGGTTTTTACCAGCTTCATAGATATTATTCGTAGCTTCTTTTCGTAGCACAGTGAAGATAATCAGTTATTTAATAAATTAATATGGTGAGAAGTACCATTACGATCACCAAGTTGTGGGGAACTTACAGCCCTCGAGCGATGTTAAGGAAAAACTCCTTCCTTCACTAAATCACTTTTTGCTGGTTGAAGATGCTAAGATATTCCCTTTTCAAATGCTCTGCACTTTTACGCCATCTGGCTTTTGAAACTCAAGGATACAATGAGCAAGAAAACTTTATTAAGAAAATTGCAAACGAGTAAGAATATATAACTAAATTCACCAACATTCCTAGCATAATAAACAATGGGTAAACATAGGTTTCTGCAAGTAGAGTTGTATATGAAGTTATATTTGAAAATGAAATTCAAGAATGGGAGGCCCAGCCGGGAAGAATGAGTGAAAAGCAGGCCTCGTCTATCAACTGCAACTAATTAGCCAGGAAGTCGAAAAGATATGAAGATTATTCAGCATATACTGAGCAAATGATCTAATCCGATTGGTGACCACTGCTGCGTCTCGACGTTAAAACCGAATATTACATTCCGATCGATGTAAATAGATACATTGCCGAACCAGTAGACAGGCTTCCCTTCTCGGAATTTATTCACCTGAGGCACATATAGGACACCCGCTTCACGTGCCCTTAATTCTACCAAATCCTAGAAACCATACAGTTCAAATTTACCAAATAGACCAGCTAAAACGACGTGAAAACACTTCTTCCATACCTATTTCTATAGTGGGAGAATTTTCTAAGAAATTTAAACAGCGACAGAATGTCATATTTAGAGAAATAAGTACAATCAAAATTTTGTCAGTCGTATTTGTAAGTGACAAAAGTACAGATGTATGGATAAATCAATAAATAGATAAGCGAAATGCACATGTCTAATAAAATCGCATGAAGAGAGAAGTAAATTTCAAACCTTGAAGGAAAGGTGAGGAGGTGGAGGTTGTATTCTCGGTGGTGCAGAATTGTAAATTCCGGGAACCGGTTCCGGAGGTGGTAAAGGTGGATGTATTTCCTTTGTGACCTGAACGCCCTGTTGGGCTTGCTTCATTGCAATGAGTGCACGCTTTAATTGTTCTGAAATATTAGCATGAGAAAATTGGTGGAGAAGTTACTTCTAAAACAGTCAAATTCGTACCTTGTACAATAATCAGTGAAGAAATTTCAACAGGAAAACGATTTTTCCATTCATTGTACCACATTACCACTTCCTGAGCTACTACTCGCGGAGACTCTAACCAAATGCACAAGGTTTCATACCACTGAAAAAAATTCGTTTTTACGACAAAAAAAGTTTCCCAGTAAACTCTTAATTAGATCATTCGAATTACCTTTGGAAAGAAGCTACGTACTAATACAGCGGCAATACCTTCTGCACCGATCAATTCAGTCCAGTCCAACGCGGCATAAAATTCGTCGTATCGCTAAATATCACAAAAATAAATGACATTTCCATCAGTAAAAACTAGAAATTTGGGAGATGCAAACCAAAACAAGACGCACGTGATTTTTTGTAGGGTCATATATCATTTCTTGTAAAGCCTTTTCAAGTTTGGGTATGATATTCATTGCCAGAAAAGCAGACATAGTTGCTGATGCAAAACAGCCTTTCCAAGGCCGAAGCATGGACAAAGCACTAAAACAACGGATAATTAACTGAAACACAAACATTTATCAACGGTTCTTTGTATTTCCTTATATATGAAATTATGAATTATTAACCTGGGACAAAACTACATGCTAATGCATATATAGTTGTAAATGCTAGATGCAAAGCAAATAACCTCCT